CGACCCCACACGGTGAACCAAGTGGGACGTACCGCACGCCCCGTCCTTGAGGGAGCAGTAAAGGGATAGGAGGAACCGTCGGCGGCCCAGAGGGTCTGTGAGGAGGAAGGGGAGGGGGGGGGGCGCATGGCCGGGGGCAAAGAGGTCTTGTGCTGCGACCCGGTCGCCGTCGGGTCGGGGGTCGGGTGGGGGTGAGGAGACTCTGGGTGAGGTCGGCGGGCCGGAATCGTATGTACTTCAGCTAGTACCTTCCGCTAGACCACGCCGCGGCGAATAATACAGGGGTTGGCCCACGTGACCCCCTTACTTTGCTTTCTACTGGTCCGCATGCAAACGTGTGGGCGGGTCATACTCACACGGGGCCACAAAGGCACCACGGATAGCGACGGTAGGCAAGGCACAAGGCAAGCCCCCCCCCCCCCCCGCCTGCCTGCGTGCGGAACAGTGCAGGCAAAATAAAGGAAAGGGCCTTTGGACCACACTTCATGCACAGACACTGCACGCACCCACCCAAGCCCGGCCCAGGCCCGGCCAGAATCAGGGTCAAAAGTAGGCAGGTCAGGTGAGGTCAGGAGGGGTCGCGAGGAGACAGGACACTTGCTTCCAGTGCACCCTACTAGGTCGTGTGCGGGTGACGGGCGCGAAGCACTGCCGCGGTGCCGAGGGCTGGGCTGGGCTGGGCTGGGCTGGGCTGGGCTGGACTGGGCTGGGCTGAGCTGGGCCGGGCTGGGCTGGGCTGGGCTGGGCTGTGGGCCGGTCAGCTGACGTGACCGCGAGGGCGGCGGGCCGGGCCGATGCCATCGCCGGCGGGCCAGCAGCTAAAGCGGGCGCACGCCCGGCCTAATGTCTGTTCGTGCGGCCGACACCACCGCTTATAACCAACAGTTGACATTTAAGTGCGTGACAAACGATATCTCATCTTTTCTCGAGTAAGTGTTTTACAACGATACTCCATTTTCACGGTTATCACACTCTGTAATTGATTTAATAGGCCACACTCACTCTGGGGCTTGGACGGCTAGGACAACACCTTTAACTTTTCATTTTTTTAAAATACAAACGCTCTATTGATCTTAACCTGGCGCTTTTGGAGTCGCCAGTGCAAAACCCCCCGGCAATTTGCACCCGATGTCGGATCGTACGACGAGATCCTTGTCGTCGCTCGAGTGACACCGAGTGACACGTGAGTGCTCGCCGCGATACCCTCTGCTGATATCTCTCTCGGTGACGCGGGCAGTGTTAGCGGCGCGGGAGCGCGTGATCGGGGGTTGCCGCGGGGCGTGAAATGGCACCAGCGGGGCGCGGGGCGGGGC